CGGGGTGCCCAGCCGGCTCTGCCGGGCGGCTCAGACGCCAAGTCCGGAGCGAGCGGGAGCGCGCGTCCAGCGAGGGCGAGAGGGCAGCGTGGGAGAGAAGGACAGAGGATGCCGGGGCCGGAGAGGGAGGGAGCTGAGGAGGGGATGGTGCTCGGCGGCGGGTGCCTGCAGTCCGCGCCGAGCCAGGCCAGCCCGGGGAGCCACTGAGACTTGGGCACCTCCTGGAGACCCAGTGCGGGCTCTTGGAAAGGAAGCCGCTCAGCCGCCACGCGCGCGCACACCAGCGCACCCCTCCTCCACCGCCCTCCTGACAGATCCGTACAGATGGAGTCCTTCGCAGGAAAATCAAGAGGAGCGGTGCAAGTAGGAGGGGCCGCAGCCCATCCATCTCTCCGCGAGGTATTTGCATCTGAAAGCGTGGAGCTGGAGGAGAGTTTTGCGAATTTTTTCAAGCGCCCTCCTCTCCCCCTCCCCAACCTGTCGTGGAAGCTGTGATCAATTGAGCTCCTGAGGCATGAAGGCAAAGTCATAAAACTAATCAGAACTTACAGTTTTCTTGCGTGATAGTTTTGCCCTTTCAATCTCCTCCGACTGCCCTAGTTCTACTTTTTCACTTGCGGAAAATTTCCTCCCCTGCTGGGCTCTCTAACGCAAAACTTCCGAGGTGTATGATTTACGCGCAGGGTGGGATAAAGGACCCTCACGAGGTGGGGAAGGGGAGCTGATCTGTTATTCAGATCGCGCCGCAGCCAGTAGAGTTCAGCATGCTTTGTTTTCCTCTGCTCTGCTGCTTCATTTAACCTCATGGCTAGGCGTTCTGTCGCAGGGGTTAGGAAGGTGAATAGATCATTTCCAAGTATGTTCCTTTTCGTTTTTCTCATTCTGCCAGTAGAACTTGTCCTGCTCCTCGTATCCATCTTACAGTGATTCTTCCGATACCGGTCATGTGGGCAAAGGCTTCTCCGTGTCAGCACCTCTGCTTTCTTGTTCATTCAAGCGCACTTGCTCTGCCCCCAATCCAGCCCCTCCTGTCCATTTAGCTTGCATTTTCCCTCTCATCTAATTAATATATAGCACCGAATTCTATGCTAATAATTCTAACAGCAAACATTTTTTGAGCTCCTGTTAAGTTCTAGATACCATGCTATGCTGTTTACTTAACATTGCTTCATTTTAAAAATTTTAAAAGTTATATTTCCAACCCAAAACCCTCCCAGCTCCAGGCCTTCTTGGATGGCCATTTCATGGTCCATTTCCACTGAACTGTCAGTCGTCACCCAAACTCAGGATGTTTAGGACCTTATCTCTTCTTAGATACCACCTTGGATTTCCCCAGTATGCACTTCCCTGTCAGGGGCACCATCATTCTCCAGGTACCCAGACATTAAGCCTTGGCATCATCTATGAGGTCTTTGACGTCTTTTGCTGTGTTAAAATCCTCAATTATTCTGGCTAATATCATACAATCTAGAACTTTATATTTTTCTGGTGGCCTTACATACATTTCCCTTGCTTTGTCTGATGAACTTGTTTCTGGGATGGGACATATTCCTATAATTGTTCTGGAAAAAGCTTCAGGAAGGCAGAGATTGATACTCAGTATGATCAAGACACAGTACATGTTTGGCCCATAGTAAATATTTATTAAGTGAAGAAGTGAATGTTTGCATCCCATCCAGCAATTAACACAACTCTGAGCACACGTATCTCTTTGTAAACTGCTCATTGATTGCCTGGGTCTTTCATCTATAAGAGACAGTATTGTGATCAGGAATAAGGTATTATACCATCTTTATTTACTAGCTTGTTTTAATCAAAGGATATCACATAAAAAAGGAAAAAACTTGGAGACCATTTTTTTAAGTTATTTTGGTTATACTTTTCCTCAAATTTTCCACAATTTTTCCTTTTCTTGTGCCTCTGCAGAAATGTTGACCACCAATTTGGGCTTCCATCTTAAACCAGATGTGTCCGTACAACCTGCCTTCCTTTTTTTTTGGGTGAGGAAGACGGGCTCTGAGCTAACATCTATTGCCAATCCTCCTCCTTTTTTTTCCCCGAAAGCCCCAGTAGATAGTTGTATGTCATAGTTGCACATCTTTCTAGTTGCTGTATGTGGGACGCAGCCTCAGCATGGCCAGAGAAGCAGTGCGTCGGTTCGCGCCCAGGATCCAATCGGGCCACCAGTAGTGGAGCACGCGCACTTAACCGCTAAGCCACGGGCTGGCCCCAACCTGCCTTCATTTTACAAATTTTCCTTAAACCATAACCTTTACACAGATTCTAGAAGGGGTGAAGTGAGTACAGTTAACTGGAATACTAGTGTTTCTGACATTAACAAGCTGTTCATCCTAGAGAAAGTCTAGGGTCTACTCTACGTGGAGGGTGCAACTTAGAAGGGAAGGATAAGAACAGGGGATAATTCAGACAGTAACTGAGAGACACCCCTTTATCTGGGCAGGTCAGAGATGGTCTCTCTCTGAGGAGATGGCACTTAAGCTGAGATATGATGATGAGAATGAGCTGGACTTGTGAAGATCTGAAGGAAAAATGACCTGGGCAGAATAAGCAAGGACCAATGTATGCAAAAGGAAAGACATGGGTGTCTGAGAAACGTACAGTACTGCAGGCTGGGGAGAGTAAAGATAGATTATGTTGGAGTGGTGGGCAAGAGACAAATCTTGCAGGGTCTTCCAAGACCTGGAAGGTGTTTGTATTTTATTCTTAGGAGGACACCCAACATTAGGAATGCCGAATAAAGGAAGAGCTCCACAGGTTTACACTGTGGTCAAGTCTAGGGACAAGGCGTGTTTTATTAGGTACTTTTTCCTTTTCTCTCTTTTTCCTACAACTTTTGTTTGATTAGCAAACTTAGTTTTCTGAGAAACAAAGATAAAAAATTACTGTACTAGATAAATCCCAAGGTGCTGCCAAATGTTTGATTCCATGAAATACATAAAATACAAATGTAACTCCATATGCTTACTTATGAAATTTTATAATGTTTCCATAGAATTTTCAAATGTTTTAATATTTCCATTCTTGTATATAACAATCTTTCTTGAATCCCCTCGGTTGAAGGTTTTATTTCTTCAGTGTCATATAATGCTGTACACAAATTTGATAAATGCCCCTTTTTCTTCCCTACTAAAAAAAATACTTTCAATTTGTTTTCTTATTTCTTATTTTTTTTTTTAAAGATTTTATTTATTTATTTATTTTCCTCCCAAAGCCCCAGTAGATAGTTGTATGTCACAGCTGCACATCCTTCCAGTCGCTGTACGTGGGACACGGCCTCAGCATGGCCGGAGAAGCAGTGCGTCCATGCGCGCCTGGGATCCGAACCCGGGCCGCCAGCAGCGGAGGGCGCGCACTTAACCGCTAAGCCACGGGGCCGGCCCTTATTTCTTATTTTACTTATACTCTTGATTACATCACTAAAATCACCTGAACTAGAACTATATTTAGGAGAAGGAGGAATCAGAAAAGGGAGGAGAACTCTGCCATGGTTTCTGTCAATGTGGAAAGTACTTCCCTACATGTTTTATCTCTCAAAGCAGATTTGGTGAAAGTAAGTTTCTGATGAGATTGCTGATTGGATTATATTCATATCCATTGCATCCTGATCGTACTCTAAAACCAGAGATGTGGCTCCGGTATCTGGCCCCTAAGGGCAGAAGAGAGCTAAGTTGTTCTAGAAATCCAGGGGAGCCATGGTCAGGTTAGGGAGCCACAAACATTGATGTGGCAGAAGGTAAGAAGCACTTGCGTAAGGCAAGCTCTCAAAAAGTTGGACCATTTATAGTTTCTTGTGAAAGTCTTTCCCAATAAAAACTCATGGATAATAATAAAAATATATCTTTTTGTTATGTAATGCTTAGCATTTTCCTGAATATGGCTATGTTAAATTTACTTCAAATTTTCTTCCATTCCATCATCTAGAAAAGAAAGTACTTAGTACTAGAGATTTCTAGCTCTATACAGTCATTCACTAACTTGGTGAATATTAACTGAACCCCTGCTATGTGGTCCTTGGATTAGAGGATGGGAACACAAAGATGAGTAAGATGTAGTTCTTTTCAGGGATCTTCCTGCCTATCATGGAGAGAGGAGGTGCACGAGTGTCCATACACCATGATAAGCGTTGGGATGAGGTCTACACGAAATGTCAGGTGTGGGAGCACATAAAAGGGGCCACGTGATGAGAAGTCTTGAACTGGAGAGAAGATATTTGGAGTGAACCCTGAGGGCAATGTGGTACCACAAGGAGATTTATGAAGGGACATTATGATGACATTTGCAGTAGAAGAAGGTAACTCCCTGGCAGCGTTTTAAAGTCAGCCTTGGACTGGAGGTGAGGAAATCTTTAGGGGGTTATTGCAGAAATCCGGGTGAGAAAAATCTTGGCCTGGACTTTAGTTGTGGCACTAATGCATGAAAACCCCTGGGATGTAATCAGAAAATGAAAATAGATTTAAAGATTTCTTAGGGCTGGCCTGGTGGTGCAAGCGGTTAAGTGCGCACGCTCTGCTGCAGTGGTCCGGGGTTCGCCAGTTCGGATCCCAGGCGAGCACTGACACACTGCTTGGCAAGCCATGCTGTGGTGGCGTCGCATATAAAGTAGAGGAAGATGGGCATGGATGTTAAGCCCAGGGCCAGTATTCCTCAGCAAAAAAAAGAGGAGGGTTGGTGGATGTTAGCACAGGGCTGATCTCCTCACCAAAAAAAAAAAAAAGATTTCTTGACTATAGTTATCAATAAGGGAGCATAACGTGTGCCTACGATTAGCATCCTGGAATCACCCCCCCAACTGCATCTCACTGGTGACTGTGTCCCT